CGATGGCACACACCACGGCCACCGCAGATTTCGTTCATTTTGCTGGCAATCACTTTGCGAAACAGTCTCTGGATCGCCTTTAATCGCGACGCTGACAACGCTGGCGATCCGGCAGAAATTCGACCGATCTTCGGTGATTACTGGCAGGATTATTAGGTAATTTGTCGTTTTACGTAGAATCGCAATAAAATTTACTTATCAGCTTTCCGTAGAAGCAAGCGAGCCTCTCCTGTTCATTTTGAAAGATTTAATGGAAAAATCTGTTCACGTGAATGTACACGTAAAAGTGGAGTAATCCACGTATTTCATCTATCCACTCCACAATATTTTAATGCTTCATTAGTTGGTCAGTTTTGTACTATACTAGGCCATTTACTGCTAAGTCTGCAAAAAATGTGGATCTATCCAAACATTTGCATCGGGCTCAACATTGACATATCTTGCAATGAAATATTCGCTGTACAAACAACAGAAGAATACCAATAAATGAAAGCAATACGAATAAGTGAAGAACCCGTACGAATCTCACGAAGATCGCGCCATCTTCTTGCGGAGAGGAAAACTCGTCGAGCACAATTAAGCTGCGCGATTCACTTCTCCCTTCGATATTGCGCGCGAAGACGTTTTCTTTCTTTTTCCCCTTGCTCCAGCAGTGCGCATTTTTACGCATTCACGTTACGTGGAAATGCCAGAGGACGGTATTAAATAAGTACAAAAAGGTAACAGACTGACAATGAGCGACGTACGTGCCCGCGGGTAGGGAGAAGGCACGGCGCTACGGGGGCGTCTTGATATGCAGACGGCGTGCGTCGCGGCGGCACTGGCGAGCAAAAGACCATCGGGCTTCGGTTACGAAACGATTCTCGAAATACGGGATCGGATAGCGGAATACCAGTAGCCAGGCGCATTCGAGTCGAAAAAATTTCAACTGTTAGTGATAGGGTCGAAAAGGAAGCGGTGCCCTTTGACTGCTTTAGAGAATACTGAGCTAAAAAGAGCTGGCCAAAAGTGTCTTTTTTAATTTCAGATTCTGATTGATATGCTTTTTATCCTGCTGGGGGAAATTCTGAAGATATTAACCAAGGAGGTGCAGAACAATATTAGACGGAACAGGACAACGTCATTAAGACTAAACCTACCACGACCGGTCAAATTCGCGATCTATAATTCGGCAGGAATTCCCCAAAAGCGCCCGATGAAGTATTCATCATTGCCAACGTCGAGAAATCGCGTATTCGTTTCGCGCGCGGCGATCGAGTACCGCTAGCAACAAAACAGCGAATCAGATCGATTCGAGCGGGGGATATTTGTTCGTGGATCAGATCGTGGTATCGAGTGGGCGTACCGTTCGAGAGGGGTCAGCCAGTCGAGATCTCGGTTTCGCTGTTTAACGAGGATAGGGCCCCGGTCTGTAAATGAGACTCGATGACCTGGCGGAAATCGAGAACGAGTCCGCCTCGGGGTTCTTGCATAGAGGAATGATACAATAAGAAAGCCACGAGGACGAAAGTGCAGCCGCAGCACTCGTTCGAGTTCTTTCGAGGGGGTGTCGTCGGTGACTTTCTTTCTGTTGCGCAACCCGTCGAATCGTTTATCGTTTCTGCTCGAGACGCGGATGGGAGATGCTTGAAAATGGAACGGAACGTCACGTGTAACCAGTGCCGCTGGGTAAGAGGCGCGATGTCGAATTTCAGGGCTCGAATAGCAAAGTAGAATTTGTGACTTAAAAAGAAATTAATTCCTACGAAGGTGTGTCTGAACGAGAAAGTAGATCATCTCTCGAGAAACAATCACAATAACAAATTGGATTTAAATTTTCTTGTCGTTTTTCTATAGTGTTTTTCCCAATTAATTCTAATTTCTCAAATATTTTAAAAACTCCACCCGCAATCATTATATCTCCATAACAGAAGCCCAACGTTTTTTACATTCTCGTTCCAAAAATACTGTCCCCATTCTTACAATATTCTCTAACCTTCTCTTTCTCCAAAATTAAACTAATGATAAACCACGAAATTGAGTAATAACTACCTCCAAAGCAAGGGTTGAAATTATCCTGACAAAAGCCTCCAGGAAAATCCCCGTTACCGTCGCAACCTCCAGCACAACAACATTGTCGTCATCTGAAATTACATTTGAGGCCCTCGCGAACAATGTCAGGCATAAATTCACCGTGTGACGCGTTTTGTAAAATGCATCGACGGCTAGAGACACGAATTAACGCTGAAAGTAGCGCATGAATAATCGAGTGTGCGACACGCGCTGCGAAGATTTCGATTGCCAGTGGTCGCGAGGCACGCCGACTCGGTTAAAAACGAAGCACAAGGGTGTCGTGGTTTCGCATTACTGGCTCCTTTATTATTCATGTGCGACGGAGTAGTAGAAGAGAGCGTGTAATGCTCGTAATGTACGCGCACGAGACATTTAATTTAGGCGCGTGCACGCTCGCCAAAGGGACAAGGTTGCTCACGCTGTCATCCCCTCCTCGACGAGAGGGTGGCCCCAACGTTTGCAATTGATATACAGGCTCCAGGGCGACTGACGAACCGGAAAATTATGATTTTTGGCGTTTATTTCTTTATTCAGCTAGAGTACAGCGCAGTATGTGATACTACTCAGATATAGGTTCTAAATTTGTTCGTAGAATGCAGCTTGTAATTCAAAATGAAGCGTTCTTCTGCTTAAAATGAAGGAGGGTTACTGAAGATATGTTTGGTAAAGGAGAGCTGTAAAAGGAATACAATTTGGTTGTGATTTATGTGTGTTTTGAAGATAGTTTTAAGAATCTTAATAAACATCGTGATGGCCCTACAATAAAGAAATTCCTTCCAAAAGACGCTTTAGGACCTAGTATTTTGTTAAAACTTATATTGTATCGAGTAAACCATCAATTTATTGTTAAAAACAAAATTCTAAGGCCCTTTTTGGGCACGTTGTATATACTACCGTAGAAAGTCTACTGCATAGTTGCAGACTTTTCCTAAATGAGTTGACAGTGTTACTACTCAAACTACCTTGACGACGTATATTAATATCACACAAAAAACAGAATATTTTTAGAATTAGAGCGAGGAGAAACCAATTAACTAATCAATAACATTCTCTATTATTAATTCAACGAACGATTTTAAGACGAAGTTCGAAGTTCATGGGTCAGATTGACCGGGTCAATAGTTTTATTGCTAATTAACTGTAGGGAGAATGTGTAGTTTTGATAATGCTAAGTTTAAGAGGAAGGCAATTTCGTTTAGTGTGAGATCTCTCACCTGAAAAATTCCTTGATGCTCGACGCGGTAAAATGGGTGTGACCGCAGTCCGCGATCGTATCGCGCGGGTTTGTTTAAATAATCGGACGTTTCGGGACCGTGGCGCGTATCTTCGTGTCGGCATCTGGCCAGCCAATATGTATGATAATTTCGACATGCCTACACCTCATAATGGATCCTGAGTATGTACGAGTGCAGCAGGAGAAGCCAAGGGCATGTGCATCGGTCCCGGTCAATGCTGGAAACATCTTTCTTCGTCGTCTCTTTGGAGGGAGACGTGCTGCCAAATAAGCCATTTACGCTTCTGAAAAAAATTGGTTATCGTTCAGCGAGGTCCTAAAAAGTTAAAAGCACCTGAAGTTGTTTTTCCCGTGATTATTGTAAAGGCAGAAATAATTGTGAAAGAGGGAAAACTTGTTACGTAAACGTGGTTGAGTCGCCATGAGTGATCAATGAAAATTTATTGATTTGTTTAATATTTATGGTCTTTTTTCAGTCATAAATTATGTTACGTTATTGTTTGAAACAATGTTTCAATATATCGCTTCGTGTTCGTTTATTTTGTTAGTAAATGCAATTATTTTTTGACGTTTTGCCACTTTTGGTAAATTAAGTTTTGAATGTTTTTCTAGTAAAACTTATTTAGATACATTTGTGTACAATGATGAAGGTGAAAGTTATCTGCTACGAATAGTGTAGAAAGCGATTGATATCTGCATTTAATAATACAGAATACAATCATTATTTGCAATGAATATTTTAGAAAGTAACTGTTATTCGTAGTGAATAATGTAGACAATTAATCTTTAATGTTTGACAATTTTTAAGGGAATTATGTGTCTGTTCAATGTGATTAGTCACATTGATTGTTCAAATTGCTGTACATCGATCGACTCCCCATTTCGCGGTGCAAAGCCAGAACTCGGCCTCTTTAGAAACAGCGTCCCTAACGGCAAAACGTTCAAGTTTGTCGTGGATTAGTTTCTAATTTAGTTTTTTACCAACAATGGATATTCTATTTTATTAAATATCTACTGTCAGTAAAAAGTGATTACTGGCACCATCTATCGCCGAAAATAGAAACTAGTCCACGACAAACTTGAGCGTTTTCCCGTTAGAGGTGCTGACCAGAGGTCGTAACTTAATACTGGGACTTATAAACCTACACAGGTTTATAATCTGCGTCTGTTTATATTAATAAACGCCACCACGCAATGCAACGGATTTTAGTTCGTGTTCTTCACCGCGAGATGGCGAGTCGATCGATGTTCGCCAATTTGAACGACCGAAATGAATTAATATCACAGACTTCGTTATTGTTTTCGCTTTTTTCATTAATTAATCAATTTCAATGTTTAAAAATGGTACCTCTTGGAGCATAACACATAATTTCACAATTCTAGAAATACTAATAACACTAAGTTATATGATACTTTAAGCAATAAATGCATGTGTGAATATGTAAATTTTAATTTTTTAAAAAGTATCTTTTACAATGTATAGTTACCTTTTATTCTTTAAATATATTATAATATGAAGTACTTCGGCTGAAACTTTGATATACGTTAACTGTAAACTGAAATTTGTGATTCTTGATAATACAGAAGCAAAACATAAAAAAAATTAAAAGAAGATTCGTTGATGTTTTTTTATAGAACTAACGGATCGCAGTAAGGGAAGGACAACAATCAACAGATAAATATAAAACGTTTGAGTGAAATATGTATGTATATATATCTCGTGAAAAAGCTTTGACAACATTTTATTGTTAACCGCAGAAAAAGCCATATACACTTTCACACGAAATCGATCATAGTTTGTAATAATATCGAAAAATTTATAATAATTGAATGTTGTACATAAATATAAAGACGACGATGTTGCATGTTCTCGTGTGTGCCAAAACTGTACAAAAATTATCTCGAACATCTTTCGCAACGCTCGTTGAACAACTTATTACTCGGTGATTGTGGCAAATATTTATATATCCCTCCATTTTCGTCTCCTCATCTCCCTTTGGTTTCGTTCGCCCGCGACATTGTTTTTCACCCTTCGCCTGTCTCCCCTTGCGTTATTAAAAATGACGTACTAAATTGCGTTCTGAGGTGCGTTTTTACGAGTTTCACAAGAGCTTTTCTTGACTTCACATGAGAGATGCGATATATTTAAAATCGATAATCAAATACACGGCCGGAGCGGGTGGAAGGAACGATTTTTGGTGTTTTTTTTTTTTGCGCTTCTATAAATCTATCTATCCTATGTACTTTTTAGCCGCGACGGTCAAGTGCCATATATATATATTTTTTTCATATATATATATTTATTCATTTATTTATTCATATAATTTTTTTTTTGTATTTTACTCGGTACTTCGAACGCAGCACGCACCTTGTTTTTTTCTTCCTTTACATCGCGAATCATTATCGATTAACAACAGCGATTATACATAGTTAGACTTTGCGTGCCCCATTGTAAATCTCTATTTATTAATTTAATGTTTATATATATATATATATTTATGTATTTATTTATTTAATACACCTCTTCTCTAGAATTCCTTTGCAGTGACGTCGTTAATGCGATTAATCGTTTCCACTTAATATCCGTCTCTCATATTGCTCTATCCTTATCGCGAGAATCTCCGACAACAATCCAAACAATTTCGATCATCCCCCATTCCGCATCCATTCTCCCCTCTGTTTCTCTTTTAATTATTAATATTCCCTAAATCGATTCGTTCGACATTATCGACATGTCAGTTATGCATTTACCACGTAAATACTTATTAAATATTCTTTTAATTATTGTAGATCACAGACAACTTGTTCTTAATCCATAAAAACAATTCAATTATTATTTCCTTCCATTGGTAATCAGTGTGTATCTGTTTTCACGCGTTTGCGTATGTGTATCTGTGTGTATGCGTGTGTGTTGTGTGCAATTCGAAGGCGCGTGTGTAACTAACCCTGTGTACGTCTGTGTGTTTGCGTAGGTTTTTGTACAGTGAAGTAGCGTTCGCAAATAGCAAAAGTCCTCGCGACGTATGAGATCTCATCGATTTCGATGCTACGTGGAACCATAAACTTATCCCTTAAGCATTGTTAATCGTCGTCGGGTCAAGCACCAAAGGTAATTGCTTCTGACGAAAAGGAAGAAGCTTTGATCAAGCTAGAAACGCTTTTCAATGCCACGCACCTTACTCAATTTTCGAGTGGCACTCGGTGCAAATGTTTGATCGATACTCCAATGACGCTGCGCGAACACGTGCCCGACCGATGATCTCGCTGTAAACAAGTCTTCTGAGCGACGTTTCGCGAGCTTCATGCAAGTTTATTGTTACTTATGCTCGACGACCGCTGTCTCAGATTAATTGTAGTGCGAGCGATCTGTCAGAGATCCCCAAAACGAAAGAAAATTGTGGATGGAAAGTTCATGGTTTGCGTTAAAGAGCAACCGATCTTGAGTCTTGATAGTCGAGTCATCGATGTGACTTTATGCTTCTATCAACTTGTGTATTATTACAATTAACTGTGGCTGTTGTTGAACTGTTTAACATCGAAGAGCCATCAATTATTATAAGCACCAATTTTTGTCATCGATTTCAGTGGTGCGAGTGACCTTCCACAGATCCCAAAACGAAAAAAATCGTGGCTTGCGTTGAAAGCAACCAATCTTGAGTCTTGATAGTTGAGTCATTTGTGTAACTTCACATTTGCATCAACGTATGTGTTATAATATTTAATCGCGAATGTTTCTGAACCGTAGTACTTCGAGGAGCCATCAATTACTATAGCCATCAATTTTTGCCATAGATATCAGGGATTGAAGGTTCGCCTGTCCTGCGCCACTCGTATCGATTCAAGCGCGGCAACGAGGCCGCGAAAAACCACTGTTACCCGCTTTACCCGTTGCGCGAGTACCCTTATTCCTTTACGTAATCGCTGGGGCTGAACTCCCGATTATTCTGTATACTAAATTTCCTATGGTAGATCGTTCTTGGCGCCTTACAATCGTAAATAACAATGCGAGTAATGCAAAGCGAAAGGTCTGCTTGTTTCTTTCCTGGACAGAAATTGACCCGAGCGTTTATTGAAAAATTTATTTTCTTATAAATATATATCGTAGCGTTACAACGCCTTTGAAATGGGACTGATTCATAATGCGCGAGCATCTTTCGGTAATTCACAGGTTTATAGACTATTGTATTGTCACAGTAATTGCCGTGGCACTTTTTTGAGAGACCCTACTGTGTTGCTTTGTTTGATGCAGATGTATTTAAGTTTGAATGGGTGTGAATGGTTGAATAAAGTCAGCGGAATTGTAGATTATTGCAATGGCATGGTGCGATACAAAAATTTACGTGTGATTTTATGCAAAAAGTGGTTGGAGAATTTATTAGGTTGTGTAGTGTGTTAATTTTTTTTTCCAAGACATGAAAGCTACACCCTAGAATAATAGACCAAGGTGTTTCGATCAACATTAATTTCTTTTTAAGCTCCCTGTAAAAGGTGGGAGAACTATTTTCACTTTCTGACAATCATCTGCCAATAGAGGAGCTTTGTTAAAAATAAAAATTCAAAATTATGTTTCTCAACCATTTAAATTCTTCTGTCATTTATGTTTATAGTTAACCTATACGATTCTCCAATATAAATATAGTGCCATGCAAAGATGAGAAGTTAGCTAGTAGGTTTGATAGATAATATACTGTAGAATTTTTCAGTATAGCACAGACAATAATGTAGAATTCTTTCATGTAATCAAGAAGATTATACCGTTACCAATCAGTACAGTATAGATCATAATATAGAATTCTAGATTACAATCAAGTAGTAACCAATCAGATCCACTAGTCAACTTCTCATCTCCGCATAGTACCACAAGCTCAAACATGTAATTCGAAAATATCAACCAAAAAGAAAAAGTCATCGTTAGTGACAGAAGCTACCTGTCCTCGCAGCACGAATCAGTCCCACTCCAAAGAAATCTACCACCCCCTTAACTTCCTAATCTCTATGCTGCCTTCGTAAATTCATTTCCAAACGAACTCTGCTTCCCTTCGAAGCACGCTCTCCGAAAGAAACGCGGTAACCACGAAGGGGCGCATCCCCTGAGCGTTATTTCACGATCCAGCGGGCACGCGAGCAGCCTCTCACGAAAATACCTGATCAGAAGCATGTGTGGTCGTGTGTATCTGTGTGTGTGTGTGTGTGTGTGTGTGTGTGTGTGTGTGTGTCGCGGCAATAGTGTGTCGTGTGGAAACGTGTGTCTCGGTGTTTTTTGATGCAGTGTTCGACTCGTCTACGATGCACGTGGAGAGTGGCGTATCTCGGATGCGTCATGATCACACAGCAAGCGGATTAACTTATTAATACTTGTTAATTGGTAATGGTACTCTTAAATTAGCGTATTTACTCGTTCAAGCTATTTAGTCCACGCGGGTTACGCGACCGTTTTGCGTCCGCGAGTTCTCCTTCCTCTTCGATACTCGACATTCTCCTCGATCCTCGACTTCTCTTCGTTCTTCGGCTTCGACGAGTGAACCAGAGTCTGTTACGCGTCGTCGTCGAAAGAATCGGTGTTTCCCAAGGCGCGCGCGTGTGTGTCTGTGTGTGTGCGTGTGTATGTGCTCACGGAATCGGCAGGAATGCGTTCGCGCGACGTCTATCGCGACGGGGAGGAGCAAGACAGCGAAAAGTGGCTGGTACGTGTGTGCATTCCTCTCGACGCACAGGTGCGAGACAACTCGAACTCCTGTCTCGAGTTTCGCGTGGCAGAGTTTAGGTGAGAGTCGTTGCAGAAATACGCACGGAGGAAACGCTGTGCTTGACAGTAACCTGGACTCGGCGCCACAGAGGGACTCTTCGGAATATCTCGATTGCTGGTGGCTCCTTCGGAGGGCATTGATCTTCTAGGTTGGTTCAAGTTTCAATTCGAAGGTTCATTTGTTGAATGGGTGCTTCTGTTTCAGAATTTCGTTATACGCTTTCTTTGGGGACTTGGTTTGATAGCCATTGATCGTTCGGGTGGAAATCTGTTTATTTTGGCTTATAGGATGACCAAGAGGAATTCAGTGTCAATTAGACAGGTTCTCCATTTTGTTCATCTGTTGAATGGGTGCAGCGATGATTTATTGGGATGATCAGAGTTGAGTGGTTCTGTTTACATTTCCGAAGTTTGTTATACACCTTCTTTGGAGTTTTCATTTAACACCCAAGGAGCATTGTTCATTCAGAAAGAAATCCTTTGCCGTGACGACCGATACATTCGAGTATCGATCATTTACAGATTCAAATCTCCAATGGTTAAGTCAGAATTGATCCTTCTTAAAGCAACCAATGATCAGAATTGGTTCAGTTTGTTCGAAAACCACTGGTAAATGGCTCCAAGACACCAATTCAACAGCCAAGTATCTGTGTTGGTAGTTTAAAACACGTAACTTTGCTTCATGTATGACCCAAGCGACTCGACTATTTAGAAATCTAAGTTCCAACTCACTAACTTTTTCATTTCTTTCATCTATTGGATGGATTCAGTGATTAAACCTCTTTGGATCACCCAATGCTCAGCCTCGACTACTCCAATCTTTTCGATCTTTCATTATAAATATTCCTTACACTCAATTCTTTAATCAATCTTGACAATTCAGAAGAAAAATGTTCAATTCTTTCCTCCATGCATCAACCAAGGTCGACCATTGTTATGAATCCAAGTCTCCTCGGCAGGATGTCCACCATCGATTAATCCTCGGATCACCCAATGCTCAGCCTGGTCTGCTCCAAATCCAACTCTCGTTATAAATGTCCCGTGGCAACCCGACTCAACAAGTTCAAGCGCCATCGGTGATTCCAGTAGGAGAACGCTTCCAATGCTGCCTCCAGTCGACTTATCTCGAGACGTCGAGTAGCCTCGAATCTATTCTGAAATTCCACTCGGATGTTTCGGAAGTGTCCTTCAGGGGAGGACGACGAGAGACCCCGAGGGCGCCGCGGTATCGGCAACGAATCCAAATATAATATTTTCCTCGCTGGATTCTCGCCAATCGAGCCGATCGCCTAGCTAATGCCAGAGGACGATCGGCCCAGGATGGACGAGCCCTCGACGGATTGATCGATGGGTGGTCCTCTTCGGGGCCACCCCTCAGAGACGGTCGCGACACGGGCGGTTATCGAGTAGAAAAAAGTCTGTCACAAAATATCGTTTGTCTCTATGGATAATAATTAGCGCGTACGGGGACAGTTATGCGATAGCGTGCGGCTTACTAAAAACACTACTCGTTGAACGACACACTCTGGATCACTTCTCTGTTCGTTCGAGGAGAGGACGCGAGTGAATTTGGACGCGGAAACGACGCTGGTTCCCGTCCTCGGGAACGTCCTGCGTCCCGTCGACCCCTCTGGTTCACTCGGGTGAACGTACCCGAAGCCAGTTCTCGTGTTTAGCAGTTATCGGTTTCATCCTTGTTAGTCGGTGAGAGGATATCGGCTGTCCGCGGTCGGTAACGTTTTAATAAGCTACTGTAGAATCTCTCGCTCTCTCCGCCTTGTCCCGCGTTCTTTGGGTCACTTAGTGCGGCTTCCAGGAGATGTTGTTCAGACCTTGAAAGTGCCGCTTCAGACTGCCGCCGTCGGCCCAGGGGGAGTTGAGATACTCGTCGTCATCGTCTTGCTCAAGTTTCTGAAACAGGCGTGCGTTGATGTTGGTCAATGGAGCGTGACAATTTTTCTACAGGGGGTACTTTGTACAGTGATAGTGGAGGCAAATTTTGTTCAGTGAAATGAATCGAGACGTTGAGCATCGAAAATGGGCGGTGACCTTATCTGGTATGAAACTATTAACGGGATTAGAATTGTACTGTTCAGTTTACGGATCGGAGCATCAAGTGTTAGCGATTCGAAAAGTAAGTCGGTGTTTTGTTTAGGTTGCTTAGGACCTACATTATGTGACTGCTGTGCAGAGCCTTCATCTTTTTACCATCTCCGCACAATGCTAGTTGTCTATTAACCCATTTTAAAACAATCAAATCTATTTATCGAACGAGTGCATTCTTCTTTTGAAACCATTTCTCTGGAATCGAGAAGATTGGGTAAGAAGTTTCCAAGTTCCAATTCAGACGTTGGAAGCGCGAGGATCCAAGCAATTCCGTTCTCCCAAAGGAAATTAGAGCTGCCGTTTCCCTACAACTGAATCAATAGAGCGAAATGCGGCTAGCAGAGATCGAGACGGTCTCGCGAGCACAAAACGATTAGCTGTTTCGAACTTGGGGGTGAGAACAGATCCCTTAATGTTTATCGGGCGCATGCTCTATTTGGCTGCTCGCAACGAAACCAGTCCAACGATAAAACAGCCGGGGTATTATTGATCAAAGTATACACGTTCGTTCGGGTGTCGAAAATCTTCGAAATTGCAGACAGCTTCGATTATCGGTTCGTCCGTCGACGACACGACTTCTCGACGTTGAACCTCGTTTCAGGGTGACAAACGCGAAGCGAAACCAAGCTATCGATAAGTCCTCGATTTACACGATTAATTCAATCTGTAACACTCTGTCTAAGAAGAAGTATTACTTTTTTGATTTTAAAGAAAGAGGTTCTCCAAATATTTCTCGAATGAAGATGATCTCGAAGGGATTTTAAATTTTGTGTATTCGGTGAAATGATAAAATGTATGAATATATTCTATACATATACCACCATTACAAACATTAAAGAAATCTAAATTGAAGTGAGCATTCCAATACTTTTTTTACCCACTGCATGTCTACCTATTAGTTCGAATAGTGTGGGTTTCATTGTACATTGAAAAGAGTAACGGCTTAATGCACGACCAAGTATCTTCTTTCCTTCTATCTACAAAGAACCGTAAGTTAACCATAGAATGATTGATGGACATCGTTTATGACGCCCATACGAATCGTTGGTAAAAAAACTATCATCGCTACCGGATGGCTCCATTCGCACTGTGCAATTTTATCTTAGCAAATATTTCTGTGAAACTTATAGTTTCGAAGATATCCGAGGTGCTAATAGGTATTGTTTCATCCCGTATAAAGAGAACAATCGAAGAAAAGGAAACAACATTACACGTGTGAATGCACACATGGATGCAAATCGTGCACGAGGACATAAATGAGGCTACAGCCGCGTATCAACGAGTCCACGTGACTCGAGACCGCGTAACTCGAGGATTCACTGTGCATGGATAAGTTTTAAAGAGAAAAAGCCTGATATAAAGTGGTCTATAAGCGAGTTGCCAGAACCGAGGCCACTCTAACGCCCAACGAGGACAGCACTATCGATCGTGTGGCACTAACGAGCAATTTCGTGTATTAAAGTCCACATTTTATTGATCACGAATATCGGAAATTTGTATGGTCAGCAATATAATGGCTGATGGACAGCACTCCTGCAGGATTTAATTTTTTTTTTTGAAGCATTTCAATTTTGTATAGCAGTACTTCATTGTTAAACTGTAATTGACTAATCAGTAGTATTTATTGGAATTTGTTTTAACTTGAATGTATGCTAGTCCAGCATTTAAGGAACATTGATTTTATCTTCTTATATTTTTTAAGTTGATTTTTGGATAACACATAAAATAGAAATTTCATTATAGCAAAAATTATGATAAATGCAGTATCTTTAACTAGAATATTTAAAAAAATGATTGAACACGCTTTGACCTGGAATTTCGATGTTAGTTTTTCGCATTTTCTCGTGAAGCCGGCGAGAAATTTCTTCGAGTTCTTTTACTTTGCCAATCTACATAGTCTCTAACGTGCTGCCGTGGATCCGCTTTAATTAACATTCTGAAACTTTCAGTGCTCATTTCGAAGATCACTGTCGCCTGAGAAATTGTTAAAAATTTACTAGTATTCTTTTCTCTCTCTGAAAGCTTAGTTAACGTTACGTTCTCGTCGTAACTTCAATTCGTGCAATTCACAATTAATTGCTTTTATTTAATTGCGCAACGCACAATATTCTCACTTGTTTCCGAAGAGCTGTAAATGTCTAACAATCGGATGAATATTTCGGTTTCTTCCTGTTCTTGTGTTAAAATATTTAGTAAGGATTCATGATATTCTACTACATGTAATGAGGCAAACCTAGATATGTATATTTCAGTTCTCCAAGAAAAACACCAGCATATTTCCTGACATCAGCAAAATTATTTCAGATTCCCCTACTGGCTATATTCCACCCTTTGCTATGCTTTATAGGGGAATGCCGCAGGTAAATGATATCTACAGCCATAAATTATGAAAGGATCTTCGAAGGGACACTTCACATAGGGCTGCTACTACTCGAATATTTGATAGGAATCCTATGAATTAGACTTCGAGTATTTGAGTATTCCAATATTTCCCTATGGTTCAACCCAAAACTGTTCAGTAATATTATTGATAATTGAACCGTTCACAGCATGAATCGATTGACTCCACTTTTTGAAAAATCTTAAATCTAAGAGTCAAAACACTTAGTATAACGATACATTTTTATATTTATAATAACTTTTCTGAATGACAAAAGTTGCTTGCCATTGAATAATAAATAATTTATTTCACAGGCCATTTCATCGCATTTCTCAACTTTTTGTTTCATGAAGTTAATCGATTTATGCAATGAACAGCTCAATTGTACCATTTACCATATTCACCTAATATTTGAATCGCATTATAGTCCGAAAATGGACAAGAGGTCCCAATCCCAATTTTATACGCTGGAATCTAATAATCCCTGTTTGGTTTTCATATTCAGGGGATGACCACGAATATTCAGAGCGCTCGGGGAAAGAAAGCTGCAGGTCGCATAGTTGGTTGGACCGGGAAGGGATAAGAGCTGGTTGAAAGTGGAAACGGGGTGAATTGTTAGAGTTAGGCTCGAGACCGGGGCGGAGGTGGTTAGGTCAGAATCGATGCCTGCGTCCTTGCTTGGCCTCACTCACGCATCCCATATAGAGGTCGATTCACAGCCAACAGAAATGTTCCTATTGTCGATATCAGTTTCGATATTCCCGATCTGTCGAAAAGATTCGACCAACCAAAATGGTTCATAAAATTGCCATGTCACAACTCTTTCTTACCCATTCTAAGATTAACTCTCTAGGGGCTCACGTAACTTTCAGGTTACTGCTAATATATTGATATTTTACCAACTAATTTTAGTGTTCTCACAAGATGACGTATACGTCCTAATTGTGAACTATAATGTCTTTGATAACCATTAACAATATTGATGCACCATCAACTTCAAACATCAAACTGAATGCCTTGCAAGTTCTCTTTAGAAAAAAGTTTGGCCTATAGATGGTTTAAGAACAAAACTCAACAAGCACAGAAACACATGTTCGTTGAACAAATAACAGGTTAAGAATTATTTATCGTTCCTTTTTAATTTGAAATTAAAATCTAAATACTTTGCAAATTTCTGACGAAGAGTGCAGTATTTTAAATATTAAAAATATCTGTATCTTACACGAAACTTTTCAACCTTTCAGCGTCAGTATTTTTAGGATTCACTAATTTCAAAAGTATAAACGTTGAAGGACCCACTTTCAATGATTTAGTGTTCCTAATCCCCGCTCCATTTGGAATGGAATATACTGCAGCCAATGCATCACGTGGTGAGTACTATAACTGTCTTAAACAAACACGTGAGCGTGTACCTAGAAACAGACATGAGAGGAGCTTGGTGTCAACGTTACGGAACTCTGCTGCATTGTAGGCAACTGCAAACAAACGGATTCGTGTAATTTCAACCAGCGAGTGAGTTGTTACAGTCAGTTCTAACCCTCGATAGCATGAATTTTATGTTATCTTTCAAAACAGAAATTACTTCCTTGTTATTTGTACGTTCGTGAATTAATTACTTTCTCGACTAAACGGTAAGTGATTGAATCTGCAGTGTTATTAGAGATTCTTGTAGGAAAACGTTACCTACAAATTCTGAATTATTACCTAAGAAAATTTTAGAAGAATTGTTTCGATGTAGTCCTTAATACGTATTATGCAATACAAGGTTGAAGGTATGGTATTGGAAACCAATTGGCAGGAAGAATTCCATACTGTGAGAAGGGTTGCTGGCAAAACGACCCTTCTGATGAAACGTGAAATTGAAAATTCTGTCTATAAATACATAGCCAAAGGCTAATCTATCGTTATCTTTGTATGTTGTATGAACTCTCTCATGGCGGACATTAATTATGTTGTGACAGTTATTCAAGAATAATTGTTGGGATTACCGTTAATTTAAATAATGAAGCAGAAATGGATTCAAATTTATAAATAATGATACTTTTGTAAAGAATAGTGATAGGCAACGTTAAATTTTGTACGTTTCGGTTTTACGATTTCTAGTAGTTGCAATTCGTGTTATTTATTTTTTCTATAAATATATTACTCATTACAATGACGAGTCTTGTAATTGATCGGTGATGAAGTCTTCTAAGAATTAATTAAGAACTCTAGTTGCAATCAATTGCGTGTCGCGTCTCGAATTCTGATGAGCTGATTCTAAGAGAAATTGATTACGCCGTGACAAACAGATTAATCATTCCGAGACACCTGGCAACCGATAAGAATTTCTGACGAAGCCAGTTCGAAATTTTAGCGAGTCGACCGTTGCTCGTCGCTTCTTTATACGATTTATGCGATGTTAGTCAGGCGACATTGCATGACC